TCAGAGTCTTTCCTGGTGGCGCACGCATTGCTCAGCCAAGATGGATGCTAGCGAGAGGGATTCTGGGAAGTGGACGGACAGGCAGTGTCTCCTCTCGACCTTTCCCGAACTCTTCTGGCTGGTGGTGGCTTATTAGTTCCGTATTCCTTATCAGGATCTCCTGTCATAAAACAACTCATGCAAATAGTTACTATGGTGCCTGGCCAGGTTGGGCGGTTTCAATCAGTGTTCTTCCCCTAACAGTACAACTCCACTGTTGATGGATTTAAGAGATATTTAGGAGATTGGTGACTGGCTGGAATAGAAGGGAGAGGAGAGGAACTAATTAAAGAATGACAGTCCCAGGTCTCTTGCCTAAACAACTGAGTAGATGGTGGTTCTGTTTACTGAACTGGGGCCCACAGAAGTAGCTAGTTGGAGGGTAGAGATGATGACCTCAGGTGAAAAATGAAGAAAAAGGTGGACAGATTGCACAAGAAAGAAAGTGAAAGTTGTTCAGTCATGTCCGACTCTTTGTGACACCAAGGACTACACGGTCCATGGAATTCTCTAGGCCAGATACTGGAGTGGGTAGCCTTCTCCTTCTCCAGGGGATCTTCCCAACCCAGGGATCCAACCCAGCTCTCCTGCATCGCAGGTGGTTTCTTTACCAGGTGAGTCACAAGGGTGAATCCCCAAATGCCCACCACTCAGATTATTGCTACATTTTCTTTTTCACATCTCCCATACACCCAGAGGAGTTCACTGATGAACAAGCTGAATTTGTGCTAAGAGACTTGCAAGTAGCTAGAAGGACAGTGAAAGAGCAAGTTGCACATATTGCCTCCTCTTTTCCACCTCCATTCATACTCAAATTCCTTAGAATTTGGCTTTGGATATCCTCTTCCTGAAGGTGCTTTTCACTAGAGGCATTGACTACTGAGGACTTCAAAACTGAACTCACTATCATCCTCCAGTAAAACCTGCTCCTCCTCCTCCTGCAGAAACTACCTTACGGTTACCCAAACCTTGAACTTGGAAGTCATCCTAGACAACTCCTGCAGCAGTTTCTGTCCATCCTATCTCATGAATGCCTTTAAAAGATGTCCCCTCCCTTTTCATCCTCTAAACCAAAATTGACAAAATTCTGGATCTCAGAATTTCTCAGTTTTATTGATACTGAAGATGGTTCCAGTCTTTACTCTCTCTCCAGCTCATCTATTCCTAACTACCTGTCTGTCCATCTAATTTATCTTTTTTGAAAATAAATTCATTCCCATCAGTTTTCTTTTACAGTCCTTTACAAGTGCTTATCCCCAGGTTGGCATAACTTTTTAAAAAATTTTTTAAAATGTTTTATTTATTTATTTGGCTGCATAAATTCTTTTTTTTTTTTTTTTTTAAATAACTTCTTTTCTTAAGAATGCTTTATTTATTTACTTAGTTGACTGCACCAGGCCTTAGTCGCAGCGCTTGGCATATTTAGTTGTGGCATGCAGGATCTAGCTCTCTAACCAGGGATGGAACTCAGGCCCCCTCCATTGGGAATGTGGAGTCTTAGCCACTGGACCACTGGAAAGTCCCTGGTGTGACTTCTATAGTGCTTCAGGATCTTCCAGAAAGTATGACTAAGCCTAAATTTCCAACCTCATGGCTAGCTACTCCCCCACACTATTTTTCATTACCTAATGGCTCTTCAAGTACATCAACCAAACTTCCTGCTTTATTGCCTCCTGCAGAAGACCTACGTCCTGAGAATATCTATCATAGACATTCAAGTTTCCAGAGCTAAAAATCCTCAAGGGTTTTTAAAAATATTCTTTTTTAAAAAATATTTAAAAATATTCTTTACAGCCTGAAGATTTAGCACTCTGTTTGACACAAAATACTGTTTACTTTACTGAACTCTGCATACACCCAGTGGTTTGTTTATCCTCCCTTTCCCTTCCAGCAAAATCCTCCTCAAGCTTGCATTCTTCCAGGAAACTTTCCCCAGTCCCTTCAAGTAGTTAGGGTCTCTGACTCCTTTATCTGAAGTTAGCACACTTAGTTTTACTTATTCTTTTCTTCCAGTTTTATTGAGATATAATTGACACACAGCACAGTATTGAATTTAATATATTTTAAGTTTATCCATACAACGAGTGGCCATAAATGTTAACACTTTCACCTTTTGGTAACTAACAGTAATCCTATCCACGCTTGGCGGGGCTCTATCGAAAGCCATCTCCTCCATTTGATAGTACCTTATTCCTTGAAAAAATTACTTCTTTTAACTCTCAGCTCATGATGCTTATATTTATTTAGCACTTGACACTTTCTTCATACCTGCTTACTACTGCTGTAGGACATCCCTGGTTTTCTTCCTCTCCTCCCCATAGACTGTAAATTCCTGGGGGCTGGGACTGCGGTCCTACTCTTCTCTGACTCCCTCTCCAGATTTGGCGCTGCCCTTTGCAAATGCAGTTCTAAAGCATCTCCGGGAAGCTCCCGAAGCGACAGAGCCCGATAGAGGTGCCTCTGCCGGCGCAGTTGCCCACCCGTCCCTCCACCGGTCGGGCCCGTGAGCTGGTCTGGACCGGCACTTCGAGGGCGGAACAAGCGGACGATGTACGGGAAAGAACCCCTGCCTGTCCCTTGCCCCCAGAGGCGATCGGAAAGGTGCCCGAGTTCCGCGCAGGGATCACGCCCTTTTAGATCGCCACACTAGCGCCCTGCCAGGGTTGTGCAGGCTCGGGCGGGCGGGGTTGCCGGCGCAGGGGCGGGTCACAGGGCATTTCTCGTTCGCTCATTGGTCTCCGTGGTGACGGACAGGCCAAGGAGCCGCTAAGACGCTGATGAGTTAGAAACAACAATGCGCGCAAATTGTAAACAATAAATAAAAGGCTGTGGAAGAGCGGAGGAGGGAACGGCTAGTGTCAGTCTTAGAGTGGCTGGGGCTCAGCTAGTCCCCAGCTGGGGAAAGACAGCGGTCTTTGTTCCGCCCCTCTTTTTTCGTAGCCTGGGCAGAGGAGGTCCTGGTTTCTGGAAAGTTGTCCAGGCAACAGAATCAAGTTGACTCGTCCGCATGGGAACGAGCCTTCATTGTAGTTCTTTCAGCTTCGGTCTAGGGGCTACGGCAACCTCCCTTCAGGCACTGGCGGACACTGTCTGAACTGGCTGCCCAGGTTCCTGCCTGCCTGTCTGTAAGAGGCAAATCTGAACGCGTACTCTGCTTGAAGCCGCCGATATCCTTGTGGGCAAAAGGGCCAAGATCCACTTTAAGGCTTGTGGATGAGTCATCTGAGCTCGGGTGGCCTCGGCCTGCAGCAGCTTGAAACAGGGTTTCGGTTCCGGCTTAGAGATTGAGGTTGGGTCTTGGCTGAGAGAGCGCGGAATCCTAGCTTTAGATGAGTGGTCAGTGACAAGGCTCTGGCCCTTCAGCTTTGTAGAAGAGAGTTCTCATGGAGACGGAAAATAGTGAAACAGTTTATTAGGAGGAAAAAGAGTACAGTAAATGCAGTAGTCATATGGGTGGACTCAGGAAGTCGCACTGTCTTGGTAATTTGAATCACTTATATGGGGCATTTCTTCTGGGTTTTCCTTTGGCCAGTAATTTTAATTTGCCTGGTTCTGAGTCCATTTTTGGTATATCTCAGGATCCTCCTGTGTGTGCAGGGATCTCGCAACCAAGATGGATTTCAGCAAAGAGGTCTATGGGTAGCTTAGCATCACTTCCCTTTTAACCTCCAAAGAGTTTTCTAGTTGGGATGGTCTCCTTGACTTGGAGAATACGTGGTCTCTAATCTCTTATCTGGGCAGGGCCCAGCTTCCTCTTTCGATTGTCGTGCTATTGATATTTTGGAATTTCTGTCCACCGGGAATGAACTCCGATTGTGATGGGCATCTACCTCCTACCTTAATTTGTGATGAGCTCCTGCTGATCTTTCCAGTCACATGTGGGAGGAACCACCACCGGAGTCCGGTCGTTTCAGCCTTCTGTATAAGCTACCTCTTCTCCTGGGCTGTACCTGCCCCAGGCACCTTCCGCCCTCCTGGAGAAGCTCTGCCCTCACCCGTGTAGAGGCCTTCCCAGGTGCACTCCTACCGCCCCCAGCCCTACTCCCAGCTTGGGCCCGGTTATCACGTGCTCCAAGCACACTGGACTCAGCAGTCCTGCACCGCACCACCAATCACACCTGCTAGGTCCCTTCCTGGAATGTGAGCATCCTGAAGGAAGGAACTGTGTGTTTTCCAAATGGGTATCCCGCAGCCTAGCACAGTACACATCGATAAGAATTCAATAAATGTATACTGAAGGAATAAACACATAAGACTCCATGGATTAAAAGATTAAAAAATGTCAGGCAGAGCTGTGGCATTCTAGGGGCTCGCCAAAGACATGAATCATAACCTTTTCATTTCTGAATCCTGATAGCCAGCTAACAAGTGACATTCCTTTTAAATGTGTAAATAAATTCAAGATGGTTTCCCGGGTGGCTCAGTGGTGGTCTGCCTGCCAACGCAGGGGACACGGGTTTGATCTCTGATCCGGGAAGATCCCATGTGCCTCAGAGCGGCTAAGTCTGCTCCACAACTACTGAGCCTGTGCTAGACTGCTCGGGGACTGCAACCACCGAGTCCAGGCGCACACCTCAGAACTGGCGCTCCACAACGAAGAAACCACTGCGATGAAGGCCAGGCATCACAACTAGAGAAACACTCACACAGCAAAGACCCAGCACAGCCAAAATAAAGACAAAGAATAATAAATTCAAGATGATAAATACTGATGTTAAGCCGTTTAGTTGTGGTCCCAACACAGCCAGTGGAAAGACTTCTGCTGAGCCTGTGGGGGTGGGGCAGTGGGCCTCAGGGGCCAGTCACTGAGGAAAATCTGGGCAGGCTTGCAAGGGTGTGTTTGTGTGAGACAACAGACACAACGAGGCCAAATACAAGAGGTGTTTACTGTAATGAGTATTCCAGAAGGGTGGGGTGGGGTGGGGTTCCCCCAATCTGATCCTCTAAGGCTCTGGGGTGACTCACTCTTCCTTGGGCTCAGAGGTGGGGCTGCTGTTTGTTCCCTGAGTTGGGCCCTGCTCCCTGGGGCCCTTGGCATCCCTAGTGTCCCCAGTCACTAAAGCCACATTCCTCAGATAATTCGTGTTGAAGCAGTTGACCTGTTCATCCCCAGGACTCAGTTTACAGCAGAAGGCAGAGTCTCGCCAGAAGTTACGTCGGGAACCACACAGGTCATTGATAAAGGCTGATTTCTGGTGACAGAATAAAGAGGTGATAGGGGAGGAGGGTTGTCAGAAGTCAGGACTGGTTACTTGGATGTCCAAGTTCCCCTTCCCTCTGCTTCTATTGCTCTCTCCTTGGATCCCCCCAACCCCTGGGGCCCAGAGGGAGTACAAGGCTGCCTTCCACAGCCAGACAGACTCCTTGTGACAGACAGATGTGACCATTTGGAAATGTCAGAGACCCAGAGGCGGCATCAGAGGTGCTTAGAGGTGGGGAGCAGGTCAGGTCAGAGATGAAGGCTTCTGGAACCAAGAAAGACCTCCCCACTGGTCCTCATCGTTTCTGAGGGCTGGTTTGAGGTACTCAAGAGAAGCAATGGCCCGTTGTGCCAGGCCTCTCCCTCCTCTGCATCCTTGGGAGACCCCTGCCCTCACACTCACCTCCTCCTCAGCACAGCAGGCCTGTTCTGGCAACGGCAGGTCACAGCAGTGGGCAGTTACTTTCTGAATCAGCCCAGGAATCTGCTTGCTATGTTGGTGGAAAGGGGAAGGGTCAGGGTCTCTGAGTGACCACAGGCACCAAAATGGTGTTTGCAGACCATGATTTTACTCTTCCTAATAGTGTCCCAGAGGGTGCCCCAGAAGGGAGTTTTGGGGGAAGGGAAGAGCATTGGGGAAGAACTAGATAAGACTCACTGCTTGCTGAGAACTCTTTGGTTTCCACAGAGGTGATTCATGAGGTTGGGGGTGATTCGGCTGAGGTCAAGGGTCAAGATATCCCGGTCATAGTTGGGATAGGGAGCCCGACGGGCGAAGCATTCATCGCGGAGGGGGCTAGGGGGGTAGCGGCAACACGAGTGGTGATGGGTCTTTATAGCCTGCTCCCGGTCACAGTACCCATCGAGGGTATCCTCCCACTGTGGACCAGAGAAAGGCAAGTCAGACGACTGGACACTGGCCCTCCTGTCCCTCTGCTTCCCTCACTGACACACACGATAAGACGGGCACTCCCCGCCCCAGGTGCTGAAAGGGGAGGGCAAAGAGGCAGCTGTGGATGTGTGGGGCTGGGAATGTGGAAGGGGTAGAAGCACAGCTGAGGTTCAGAGCTGGCCATGGGAGATGTGCTGAACAGTAGACGGAGAGGATCAGGTAAGGCCAGACGGTGGACGGCATAGAGATGCACATGGCGGGTACTGGGTGGACACGGCCAGGATGGAGGCGCACGGTGAAAAGACTTGGACGAGGAACACAGTGGATGGATGGACATTCACAAGCAGGCAGATGGGCAGACGTGCTCACAACGGGTAGCTAGGTACGTGGATGAATAGGCCGGCGGGATCAGAGGTCTGAGACTGGTGGGCAGGCAGACAGGCTCTTGGGATGCCGAGATGCCCACTTACGGCCTTCCAGGTACAGGTGTGGTTGTTCCCCTGCCGGCAGCAACGCTGGAACTCTGCCTCCAGCCGGGTCAGGGCCTGCAGCTGCCTTTGGATGGAGTCCGTGGCTGGGAGGTTGCGTGGCACCGAGCGGAAGCGTTTTAGGTGGCAGATGTTCTTGATATTTTCCACTGTGGGTAGCCCAGGGGGAAAGGGCAGCTCGGGTCCCAAAGAAATACCAGGCTGGTGGCTGGGGCAGGCCCGGAGCTGGTAGTGTGGCCGGGGGGCTTCCTCCTGGAAGCAGGATAATCGAGCCTCCCCCTGCTTTTTGCAGCACCCATGGGGTTGGGTCTTGACCGAAAACTCGGCCTCACAGAACCGGGTCACTGCGTCTTCCCACTAGAGTAAGAGGAGCGGGTCAGTGCAGCAGCCCACTCTCCACACCCTGTCCTGCTCCCAGGTTCCAGGAAAGGCCCCTGGGCAGGCAGCTAGGAAGTGGGGGCCGTCCTCCACGCTCCTGCACACGAGGCGGCCCAAGGGACGGCCAGTGAGAGGGACCTGACGTTCCTGCACACCCAGGCCTAGGCCTCTAGTCCTCGAAACACACACACTCAGTCCGGGGGTTAAAGAACACCCCCAGGATCAAGAGCCCAACCCTTACCACGAGTTCTGCACAATCCAAGCGGTTCGTGGGGTTGTGACAGCGGCAGCAGCGAGAATATCCTGTCTCCAGCAAATTGAGGGTCTCACCCTGACGGCTGAGGTGGGAAAAGCCAGTCTGTGGCAGGTTCCAAGGGCCGTACACCACATGCTGACGACTAGGAAGGCAGATCTGGTCCAGATTGTCCAGGGAAGGCCGCCCAGGGGGGAAGCCATCCAGCCGGTGACCCCAGCCACCTCGGGGTCGGCCCTGTTGGCAGTGCTGTGCTGGATTCCAGGACTCGGGCTCTGGGGGGCTGTGGTCCATCGAAGGAGCTGGCTTTTCTAGAAGGGGGAAAACAGAGTGGGAAGGGGAACATGTGGAGGGGCAGTGAAAGGCTGGATTAAGTTGGGAGGACTGAGAGAACGTGCAGTTGAGGAGAAAGGGTGGGGAGGATACAGAAGAAAAAGAGAAGAAATGAATTTGTGGCTCTTACCTTCAGACTGACTGACTAAAAGGAAGAGACTTGAGTCACGCAAGGTGTCACCCTTATAGCTCCCAACCCCAAATCACGCCTGCCCACTGTGTTGCTTCCCTGGGCTCAGAATCCCTGCTACTCACCCCACCCCCAGCAGGGTCTGAGCCCTAAAGAGGGGGAGGGACAGATAAAAGCTGTCAGTCACTCTCTCTCTGCTTAGATTGGAAGGTCGACTCCCCTTGATATTGGAAGGGTGGGTCTACTGGGGTAGAAAGAGACAGGTAATCAGAAATCATGTTGGGATGGGAACCTCTAGAAGACAGGGGCCTAGCCAGTTCTCATTCATAAAAAGGAACTCAGTGGAGAAGCAAGGGAAAATAAATACTATTTTTGTGTCATTTAATCTTACAGTTTTATAATATAGGTATTATTTCCCCAACTTCACAAATGACGTAATAACTAAGGCTTGGAGAGGTAACTTACCCAAGGTTATTGCACAGCTAGTCAGTGGCAGAGACCCCAGAGCCCATGCTGTCAGTCAAGGGAGGCAGGAGGGCAGAAGAGAGGGACTCACTCACCTTCCTTCTGTTCAATAGGAACCTGGGGAGGGGGCAGCTCCTCTTGGAGGGGGACGGCTTCTTGAGGGAGAGGGGGACCCCCTGAAAGTCACCGAGGACACCAAGAAGCAAGGGTCAGGCTGTCAGCAAGATGTGGTGGGTGGGAGGGAGGGAACGGGGAAGCACTCACCTTTCTTTTCCACAGGGAGCTGGGGAGGGAGCAGCTCCTCTTGGAGGGGGATGGCCTCCTGTGAGGGAGGGGGCTGCACTACAGAAAGGGGTGTGTGTGAGTAGCCTACCCCTTCTTCCCCTCCCCTTCTGAAGATCAGGGTGTAGGCCAGACTAGAAACCTAGAGGTGCAACTGAGACTTACCTTCACTCTGTCCCTCAAAGTGAAGGTTATGCTGGGCGGTGTCTGGGTGACCCTGGGGGAGGGCTCTGGTCAGAGGTGGGGAAGGGGGTGCAGCATAGCCCACTAGAGGCAAGAAGGCAGAAGGTCAGAGCCTGCGTTTCCTCCTGGAGCCCCGGTACCATGCCATGCCCCCAAACGCTTACCTTCTTGGAGGGGGTGGGTCAGGGGCTCTGGCCCTAGCTCTCTCTGCCCTGAAGTCTTGAAACCTGGAAGAGGAAGGGTGAATCAGAGGTGGTTTTAAGGGGCTCTTCCCTGGCCCTGAGTATGGGAAGGGGAGACACTGGAGGTCAGGAGCTTAGAAAAGATGACCAAGACACTAGAAATCTATTGCTCCTGCCCCAAACACACCTAGTCAAGACCGATTTGGTGTGATAATCTGACAGCCTCACTTCCACCAGGCTCAGAGTCTTGTGTCTCCCAAGTCCTGGCCTAAAGGAACTGTGACATACTGGGCTGGGGAGGAGGCCTTAATCTCGGGTCAGTGTCTTTCCTTCAAGAGCTTCTGGGCTCTTCCCACAGTTCAGACATTGAACAGGCCGGAGCCTCACCTGCCTGTCTGTTCCAGCCTCCCATCTACTCCAGGCCCTTGAAACATCTTTGGGCCTCTGGTAAGGAGCCCACACAGAAGCTGAAGTGCCACCTCTACAGCTAGTCTCAGATCCTCATTAGCTTAGGTCTGTTTAGGACCTGGGGAACTGGACGGTTCAGGACTCTTGAAGCAAATCACCCCCACAGCCACAGCGAAAGGACTCGCTTGTAGCTGATTTGCAGTCATGAAAGGCCAGGACTGGGAGGGACAAGATTGAGCCTCCCAGAGATAGGTTAGATCTATGACGATCTCTCAACAGTTTCCCACAGTAACGTTCTGTTGTGTGAGCTAGAGGGGCTGTGCCTGGTCCCCTGTGGACAGGTAACACCTTCTCACCCCCCCTCCTAATCAGGTAAGGAGTCATTCAAGGTTACCTGGGGCAGTGCACTGGTTTTGAGCAGCCAGGGTGCTCCTGATCTTCTCTTCTGGGTGATAGGTCACATACACCGCAGGTCCCTCACTCTGTGAATTTACCTGCCCTCTCAGTTGTCCGTTTGACTCCAACTGTGTTTCTTGGCAGCAACCTTGACCAACCCCTGCCCTTCTGTACCCCTGCTCCCCCTCCCTGGTTAATGGCCCCAGCACCCAGGCCCACCACAAGCCTGCTCAGAACAGGCAGCCAAACGGGGTACCTTTCTGCTGGTGACGAGCCATCCAGGATGGCTGGACCCAGGCCCCCTTTCCAAGTGCTGGCTCCAAGCCCAACTCACCTCCATCAGAGGCCACAAAAGCAACAGTTAAACAGGCCAAGACCAAGGCTGCTCCGGACACGGTCCCCATCCTGGGGCAGGTACAGGTAGGTGGCCACCCAGTAGGTCCTCTCAGGTGGATCTGATTGCAGGGCCGGGCAGATGGGAGCCTGCCTGTCCAGTTGCTGCAACTGCTATTGTGAACTTCAGGGCCGGCTCCTTCTCCTCTTTATAGGCTACGAGAGACAGCTCCCGCCCTCCTCAGCTTCCTGCCATGACTCAGGCCCAGCCGCTCCTCCTCTGGCAGTCACTCCTCTCAAACTCGCCCTGAAGGCTCCTGAGAGGACCGAGAACAGAGGAGCACCCAGCTCCAGAGAAACTGATTTTGAGAATCCCAGAGCAAGAGAGCTCCAAGGCCTCATTCTGCGCCCCAACTTCTCCATTTGCTGCCTTCTGTAGAGAATGCATCTGACAGCCTGCTGAACTGAGACGTGGAAACAGGGCACTGAAGAGTTAAGAGGGGAACACCCTAAAAACTGGAGCTCCCCCACCAGTGAGAGCTCTGGAATACCCCTTCTCAAACTCCCCAAGCCCCTAGGACAAAAGAGAGAGAGACAGAGTCAAATTCCCTTTTATGTGCCTGTTAGGAATCAGAGATGAAGACATACACCACTAGCTTCAAGTTTACTGGTTTTTGTTTTTGTTTTTAATTTTTTGGAGGTACCATACAGCATGTGAGATCTTAGTTCCCTGACCAGGGACTGAACCCAAGCCCCCTGCATAGGAAGCACAAAGTCTTAACCACTGGACAACCAGGGAAGTCCCCAAGTTTATTATTTTTAGTTTCACTCTCCTCACATCCAAACAGCTACAGCTTCTTCCAGACCAAATCTCTTCATGAAAGTAGATTCATGCCTTCACACGAATTCTGAGGAGTCAGAGGGACTCCTGACCTGTCAGTGAGGTTGGGCTCCCCCTTGTTAAGGCAGGCTGGTGGCTCCTGCAGGTCTCTGCCACATCTATATACAAATGCTCAGAAAATTTCCTCAGCATTTGGGACCCTGGTATCCTGTAGCTCCAGCAGCCGCTGTATAGCCTCGGCCAAGTCCCGTTCTCCAAGCCGACGATTATCTCGAGTCCGGATGTTCACTGTTCTCTTACTCTGCTCTCTCTGGCCAACCACTGCAGGAAGAGGGAGGTTTGGGAATCTTGGGGAAAGTATATCCAAAAGGAGAGGATATCCTCCTTTTGCTGTGCAGAAATGTAAGAGACAGAAATCCTTAGGAAGAGCAGAGCTCAGACATGTTTCCGGGAAAGGATATATTTAGCTATCTCTCCCTCTCCAGTTCCCTGGTCATCCTGAAAGATTCCAGACGTTTTCTTACATGCCTTATCACTTCCACTCAGCAGTCCAGGGGTGAGAGGCAGTACGGTCAGCCAAAGAAAGACAAACAGATCAAGAAGCAGATCCAGAGAGAAAAGTGTCCGTGTATGCGTGTGTACATTAGAGAAAAGGGGAGGGTGGCAGGCTGGGAGACATGTATGTAAGTCCATGGGGTCATGGCATAGCTTGAGCCAAGACTAGTAGGATGAATGGGTGTGTAAAACTAGAGAAACAGGTAATCTGGCTGAGAAATCTCTACTTCCTGCCTTCAAGACAGAGCTCTGAATCTTAGAAAAATGAAAAAAGGCACAAGGTTGGCTTAGACTTTTTCCCTTACGGCCCTTTTTCTCATCCCTTAGGGCTGACTCCATCTAGGTCTAGAATAAACAAAACTAACTAATTAACGTCTTATTAACCCTTCCTGTCCCTTTCTGTCTGATGCTCCCTTGACTAATTAAGCAAACAGACACCAAGAGTTAGGGTGGAGGCCAGCAGAAAACTGTTCTGAGGATCTCAGGTGCAGGACAGGAGGTGAAAGAGCCTAGCGCCCAAAGGGCTCAGTTGTGCTAAATCCTGGCTCCTGCCTAGCTCTGGTCACGAGCCACAAATTATCCAAATGTGCAGATGACCAGGCTTGACATGACAGGAAAGAACATAGAGGCCGGGTGAAGAGTGTAGGGCCATGGGGCTATGCTGACCGGGTCTTACCAAACTGAAAATTGTAGTGTGCGAGCTGAGCCCGGCGGATTCTCCGGCTGAGGGTCAGTCCCGAGTCAGCATCCAGGTCACCAACCAGTCCTGCAGCTCGCAGGCTCTGCTGTGCCTGGGGCAGAGGGTCATTGATAGGAACGTGATTTAACAGAAGGCTGAGGAGGTGGAATACCCCGACACCAGTTTTCCTCAAGCTCTCCCACCTGGTCCTTTCTCTGCCTCCAGGCTCTCCGGGCCTCAGGGACGAACCCTCTTCACGCTCTACACTGAGGCCCCTCTGCAGCCCCCACAGCTTCCTTGCCTGCCTCATCCTGCAGCCAAGCCTCCCTGGACTCTGCCTGTTTCTAGACACCACTCTACACCGCCAACCAGCTGCTCGGCTCTAGTACTGTCCATTATCCTTACTTCTCTCTAGAAATGATAAATAAGACCAACATTCATCCAAGGCCCCTTTTGTGCCATGCACCCTATTGACTATTTAACATTTACTGACTTGTTTAATTTTCACAAATCTCCAGACAAGGAGGGATTAGCTCAGTTTTCAGATGTGGAATTCCCAGCATGCAGCAATTCCCACTGCTCATCCCCAGCCTCTCTATTAGGCCTGCATCAGCCCCCATCCTCACCTCTCTGGCATATTCCTCCTGCTCCATCCCCACAGGGATGACCACCACCTGGAACGGGGACAGCCACAGTGGCCTGATTGAAAGGAGAGAGGAAGGCAAATTATTTATCTTGGTCTGGAATACAAGTATGGCTGCAGAGAGCAGATTCTAGAAGGAAGCAGAAGCTGGAGTCTGAAAGAGGCCAGGATCTGGAGCATGCACTGCCTGGTTTGAGGGCCAGAACAGACAGGAATCGGGGTCTCACCATTTTCCCCCACAGCTCTCCGCCAGCACTCCCAACATCCTTTCCACGGAACCGAGCACGGCTCGATGAATGAGGACTGGACGCTCTAGGGCCCCTGACTGCCTTGGAGGGAGATGGGGGTGGACGGAATGGAGAAGCATCACAAAATGAGCACCCAAGATTACCTTCCAGTTTCCAAGAAATCTTCAACCCTGGGCAAGGGAGGGTGTGGAGGATGTGGCTAAATTTTAAGGGTAGAAAGGGAAGTGGTCCTCCACCTAGTCCGTGAGCCGAGGGGAAAGGGGAGAGGACAAGGTGCCATACCCCTTGTACTGGAGGTCAAATCTCAGGGGCAGCTGGAAATCAAGCTGGATTGTCCCACACTGATGGGGTCGACCCAGGGCATCGCGGACGTGCACATCAATCTGGAGAAGACAAAAGGGAGGACATGTGAGAAACCAGAACCAGTGCCCTCCATCATATGTTCACCCCCTCTATCTACCCACATCCCAGGCTGTGTGGAGAGACACATCACTCATGGCATCCTGCTCCAGGTCACTCACTGGAGATTCTGGCAGTGGCTCTTTCCATTTAACAGTGATGGAACATTAGGGGATGTCAACATTCACATGAACGGCCCAGCCTCGCCCTGGCCTCTCTCTTTTTTTTTTTTTTTGCCCTGGCCTCTCAATTCCATGAGTTTCTCATCTCAGAGACCTTCACCCGAGCCCACACTGTGGCCATGACCTTCATCCCATCATCTCCCAGGATGGCTGCGCCTATGAAACAATTCATTAGACACCTGCTCTGATTCCTGTATCCTGTCCTTCCAGCTCTGACAATTATTCCTATTAATGACTCTTCAACTTCTCAGCTCCTTAACTCACTTTTCTTCATACTCATAGGCCTCTCAGCTTTTCCCTCCTCCGTTTCTCTCTCCATGAAGCTACAACCACTCTTCTGGTTCCCTGTTATCATTGTTCTTCTATCACGTCCACATGAAAAAACCCCACGTTGGCAGCATCCTCGCTGCCCACCTGCCTGGCCCCGTAACAGAGCTGCCCTGCGCTGCCCAGCATACCACACACTACAAATGCAAAAATAGCGACTGATGCAAGGGGCTGTTGTGAACCTCAACAGAAGCCGTGCTGTCGCCAGCAATCTGCGGGCTGTTTTAACCAACTCTGTGTCCTGTTCTCCTCAAGGATGTTCAAGCTTTCTCCTCAATTCCCTTCTTTAGCTCCCTCATGACAACTCTCTCTTCCCCACTCCCATCTCAGCAAATGTTCCTGCCTCCTACCTTGTAGAGAATTCCAATAACTGATACCATGAGAAGGGAAAAATGTCTCAACTTCTGTTACCACCTATACATTTCCTTGCACCTACCCCAGCCTTTCTTCCTATCTCCTAAACAAAGGCATAGGGGTCCTGTCTATGGAGGGCTCTAGATCCCATCCCTTACGACATCCCAGAAATGTCCCTCTACTGAAACCCCTTCTACAACTTCAACTTCTCCCACCCCAAACAGGCTCCCTCTCATCACAGCATTTAAACATCCTCAAGCAACATCTCTTTGGATCTGTCAGCTACTCTCCCTTGCCTTTATAAAAGCCAATGTTCTTTAAGCTTTATTTGCTTTGGCCACACCATGTGTGGCTTGTGGGATCTTAGCTCCCCAACCAGGGATTGAACTTGGGCCCTCAGCAGTGAAAGCCCGAGTCCTAACCACTGGACCATCAGGAAATTCCTTAGAGACAATGTTTTTGAAAGAGTTATATTCATTTATTCACTTATTCCAATCCCTGTCCCCATTTTACTGGAAAATGGCCCCTTGAAACCTAACAGCCTTGGGGAGTTCCTGGTGGTCTAGTAGGCTGAGATTCCACCTGCCAGGGTGGGGACACAGGTTCGATTCCCTGCTTCTGGAAGATCCCACATGCCTTGGAGCAACTAAACCTGTGCACCATAGTTTGAGCCTGCAAACCTCAACTACTAAAGCCCATGTGCCTAGAGCTTGTGCTCTGCAATAAGAGAAGCCACTGCAGTGAGAAGCCTGCACACTGCAATGAAGAAGAGCCTCTGACTGCCACAACTAGAGAAAATGCTCATGCAGTAACCAAGACCCAGTGCAGCCAAAACTAATTACTTAACTAAACAAACAAACCTAACAGCTTTTCCACTATATCCAGCAGGCACTTTTCAGGCCTTTTTTTCACTGGTATCCTTCACCTCTTTCAACTGCCATGTCACTCCTCGACCCAGCCTCTGCCTACAACGTTCTCTCCTGAGACTTCTTTTTACTTAGCCAGCAATTACTTTTCAGATTAAAAAGAGATTCCTACAGGAAACCTTTTCTGACCCTCCAGAGTAACATGCTCCCTTAGTATCTATACAGTACTGATCCCATGGTGCTGAAAACACCCTCTTTACCTCCCTGAAGCTTCACCAGACCTAAGTTCCATGAGGGCAGGAAATATATCGCTCTTCTTTACATTCTACATGTTTAAACACATTCCTTCATATCTATTAAACATTTAATAAAACAAAACAAGAAAATGAATAAGTAAGACTCTAATCTGGATCCTCAGCTTACCTTAGGCCCATAGAACGCACCATCTCCAGGGTTGAGATCCCACGGTGCTCCAAATTCTTCTAGGGCCTGCTGCAGGACCTTTAGAGAGAAGGAGACAAGAGAAGAAATATGTCGCCTTAGACTTTACAAGCAACATATCCTACTAGCCCCCACAATGACCTCTCGGCACCTGCCTCTACCAGGGACCCTGATTCCCACCCCCCCTCCCCTTCCATTAGATTGCTTTATCTGCCTCTGCTTCCCTGCCACTCGCTCACCTGCTCGGCCTGGTCCCAAAGGCAAGGCTCTCCCAGGAAGCCAGACGGCCGGGTAGACAGTGCCATGTGGAAGGAAAAGCCAAGGATGGTGTAGACAGAGCGGAGGAAATCAAGGCAGCCTTGGATCTCTGCTTCCAGCTGGAGGAATAAGGGCAGGTGAGCTGTGTGCCAGCTAGAGCTCTGGGGTCAGGGTCGTAGTTTGGGGGAAAGAAAGCAAAAACATAAAGGAAAGTTGGAGATAGAATGCAGCTGACTTATAGGGCAGCTGAGGGTCAGGAATGTTGGCAGTTCACAAGGAGAATGAAAGGTGGTTTAGACTGCTTCAGTGGAGATGGGGAAGGGCCACCTGATCCGGTGCACAGAAGATGTGGGCGTCATCCTGCTGGAAGCACCGAAGCCGGGTCAGGCCCCCCAGGCTGCCAGAGGCCTCAGCCCGGTGCAGGGCCCCGAAGTCGGCCAGTCGCAGGGGCAGCTCTCGCCAGGATCTGGGCCGGTGGGCGAACATTAGGCTGAGGTTGGGGTGGGGAAGAGTCAGGGCCACAGGGAGAACTAAGCCCTGAGGCCTGCTCCCCCCAAGTCTACTTCCCTTCTTTGCACTATCAGCTTATGCCCTCTTGGGCCTCACCCTGCCTCCTGATGAGGCCTGTTAACTCCACTCAGCACAGTCGGGCCCTGCCTGGTTCTTAAGTGAATTTCTCAGTAACGACAGCAGACACCACTTCCTGTGCCCCTGTTCTGTGACAGGCATTGAACTGAAAGAGGAACCTGAGACAGCAGCTCCAAACCCTTGCTATTACCCATGATGAGACTGAGGCTCAGGGAGGTACAATGATTTCTCCAAATTCACATGGGGAGATAGAGGGCAGATTCAAGACTCAAATCCAGTGTTCCAACACTATTCCAAGGTGCCTTCTATTACTTAATATTTAGCAAACCGGCTGCCTAGCCCTAGCCCCAGAAGAAGCCAGGTCTCCTGGCTCCCAGCTCACCAGTGCGCAGGGCAGTTCATGGGCTTGAGGGCGAGTGTGTCTGCGGGGTGTCTGGCAGAGTGCTCACTCTGAGAGCTGCAGGGCCTGTCCGGGCCTGGCGGCTGCAGGGCAAACATGTCTTCCCGATAATGCTCCCAGTGCCCTGACAGTTCCCAGAGCTTCGAAGAAAACAATGTGGGTGTTTTCACTTCTGAGAAATCACGGCGGGTGTACTCAGCCTGCAGAGATGTAGACATGGAAGACCAGAGTGACTGGGGAAGGAGAGGAAGCAGGATGGCAGCTGTGTGGTTCTCCTGGGCCCTCAAGTCATGCTGATCACAGCTATACCTAGTAATTACCACACCCCCTCTCTACACTCCCCATCGTAGGCTACACTGTTCTTGATAAAGGTCACTTGCCCTCTATCATTCCAGATGGTGCTAATGGTAAGGAACCTGCTGCTGATGCAGGAGACATAAGAGATGCGGGTTCAATCCCTGGGCTGGGAGAAGGAAATAGCAACCCACTCCAGTATTCTTGTCTGGGAAATTCCATGGACAAAGGAACCTGGTGGGCTACAGTATCTGGGGCTGCAGAGTCAGACACAACTGAAGTGAGGTAGCACACATGCACTCTACGGTATTCATGTTCAAACTTCTAATCCCTCTCTTTTAACAGTTGGATTCTTCTAGGCCATCAGTCCCCCTCCAGTTCCCCTCCCCCTGAACATGGGTCCTCCTTACCCTGATAAAAGCCACCAGTGCATTATACACCCTTGTCCCTCGAGGCAGGAAGAAGCAGCTCCCGGGGCTCAGTTCATGGAAGAAGAAGAGCTCCTGTTCCTGGAGTTGGAATCAGCAATGTCACTTCAAGGTGGAAGCAGGGCTTGAAAACCCGGAAGAGATTACTTGACAGAGTTGCTCCGATTGTGGGATTCTGAATTTGCTCCCAACTTCACAGATCAGGTTCCCTCCTCGCTCTGCAACCCTTATCATCACCACCTCCTCCGCCTCCATTTCCCCAGTCTCTATACCTTCCCAATGCGCCGGTGGTCCCGTGACTCTGCTTCCTCCTTCCATTCTTCCCAGGCCCTCAGCTCCTCTGCAGTGGGGAAGGAAATGCCGGACACTCTCTGCAGTGTTTCTGGGGCGCCTGGAAATCTCCACACTGATGATGAGTTCTGTGGGAGGACAGAGGGGGTCAAAGGGAAGATGAGGACTGAAGGCACCCACCCAACCTCCTCCAATCCTCAGATGGTACTCTGGGCATAAGCATCGCAGGTACCCACTTGACAACAATCCCATCTCATCTCTCTCACCACTTTTACCATCACCAGCAGCAGGATGCCCACCCCATCCTCCAGACAACCCCTGCCATGTCTACCACCCTGGAGGTACCTGGGCCTTGGTTTCTACACATGTACTGCTCAACTCTTAACTGTATCTTGTTACCTCTGCATTCTCACCAGTACGACCTCACCAGCACCCCTGTATTTCCTTCCTTCCCCGTCTAATCAACAATGGCACAGGGAAGTAAACCTAAGCACTGGTCAAATATTAAGTCTATCCATCCCCTTATCAAGCTCCCATACAGTCATGAGAAAACCCAATCACCCACACTGTTCCTGGATCCATGCAATTCAAATGCCTCTGCTTCTCGTCCCTTGAACAACAGTACTAGTAAGAAACGGCCTGCATTTCATCGTACTTTTAACTTTCCCTCAAACACTTTCTCTTGTGTTAGTTGGTTTTGTGTCTATAATATGGCAGGACAGGAATTAAGAGCCTCATCTTACAGCTGGGGATCATGGGTAAGGAGATTTACCCAAGGCCATATACTTATCAGTGGCAGAGACAGAACTCAGAGCAGATGCCTAGGTTTTCAGTCCAGGCCTTTGGCTCTACCTATCTGCCTCTCCCCTCACTCCCTGCTTCCTGCTCCTACTCTGACTGACAGTTCACCTTACCAAGGAGCAGTATTTTTATAAAGGGCAGGCCTCTGACTTAAAAGAATATTCTCTCTGTGCCTGTCAAATGGTGTTCCACCCCTGCTCTGTCCTCAGGAGTCCTCCCTAATGACCCCGTCCAGTCTGTTTATGCCCTCCTTTGCCATCTCCCTTGGTGCTAATGTCCGGCTACGGAATTTGAATTGGCTTCTAGGCCCTCGCAGGGTGTCGAGTATCTGTCACCAGATGGGGAGTTTCTAGAAAGTTTCCTTCTCCTTCTGGATTCCTCCCTTAGCTATCAGAGCAGAGAAGGGGCTGAGAATCACGTTCCCCTTCCTCAACTCACTCTAGTGAAAACACAGGAATCTCAACCTAACCCAGTCCTTATGACTGACCGATAGCAGCTTCAAGCCTCCAATCTGTCCAGTATGCCGAAGGTGGGGGCCTCTGCACAGATCAACCAGCATGCCACACCTGGGAGAAAGAAGGGGCCAGTGAGGCGTCTGCAAATTCCTGAGCGTCTAAGTTCCTCCCTCTCAGGGTATTTAGCTGACAGAAAGAGAAGCAAAGAACTATTCCACAGAGAGAGCAGTGAGAGATAAAAATCAATGCCCATTTCTTTTTGGGAGCACCAGAATACCTATCTTCTTTCCCTCACCCCATCCCTGGCCTTCCTGAGTGCATCCCCACCTCTCCCTGTTTCCCTCAGTGTCAACAGCTCTCACCCATACACTGTTGCCGTTGGACCTGTCACTTTCTCCTCAATCAAGCGAAGCTTAAACGGGTTATCCTGGAAGAAGGGGAGAGTGAGGACAAGCCTTCTTTCTCACAAAGTCATCCTGGAGAGAACCACTCCTCCCCTCACACCTCTCGACCATTCTCCTAAACCTGTGTGTCTCCATCCCACCTTGAAGAGCTGGCGAAGCTGAGCCCGGGAAGCCTCCAGTCTCCGGAAGGGCTGAGCAGCAGCTGCAAGTTCCTGGCAAATCCGTTCCAAAACAGGCAGCTCTGAGCCCTTGATTGTCCTGGAGAAATGAAGGATGGTTGGCTGACCTCTGTCTGTTAGGGAGCAGCACCCGGGTGACATAGCTGGGTACTGGTTAGGGGGTGAAATCCTGCCCTCTGAAACATCTAAAGTTACTGGCAAAGACAAACAGACTATGGAAGAACAAATAGGAAATCAGGTAAAAAGTTTACAGCTGGAGGAAAACAGCTCTAGGTACGAAATTCAATGTTGCATGCAGGCAATCTGGATAAACAAAACTAGAGCAATAGTAATGGGGGATGAAGTAAAAGTTGAATACATAAAGGCTAGAGAAGGTAAGTTTCAAGCTGATTTAGAAAAGGAAGGACATGGACTAATAGAGATGGTGATACCAATGTCACAGCTGAGGCACGGAGGGACCCTGCCCCGAGCTTTCTTTCTCCTCCAAATTGAACATGCCTGAGGCCCCAGAAAAGGCCTCAGAAATCATCCCAGTAAAGAGGTACAAACTTTCAGTTATAAGATGAATAAGGCCTGCGGAACTAACATATAGCATGGTGACTATAGTTGATAAATTCTGTATTGTATAATTGAAATTCTGTAAGAGTAGTTCTTAAGCATTCCCATACATACAAAAAAGCATGTGATAATTTGATTATGAGACTCCTTCCACAGTGTATACACATATCAAATCACCATAAGTATACTTAAAAATTAATTGCAACTGTATTTGTCAATTAGACCTCAAAAAAAGAAGAAAAAAGAGAAAATATGGTGAAATCTCTGAAAAAGAAAGCACCCCAGAATTATTCTCCTCCTTCCTTGCATTACTCACCGTCCCTTTCCTAAGAAGAAATCATGGTAAAAGCCACATTCTGTGCTTGGGCCTTGGCAGAGGACAGCACCTAGAAGCTGCTCAGCTGCTGCCCCCAGGACATGGGTACTGGAGTGCCAGAATACCTGGGTTCACAAGAAAGGAGTTCATGAGCTCACAGCCTTCTCCTTTAGCCCCTACCTCTCTGACCTCAGAAAAGCTGATGTGAACCAGTTACGAATAACTATCACAAAATGTGGCCTCTGAGCTTGGGGGTGACTGCTGAATAGTAAAAGACAAACAAACAACAACAAAACTGAATATAAAAGAAAGAAGGCCCCTAGAAGCAACACATGGAAGAGAGTAAGCCCCACTCCTCACTGCTTTCCAGTTCCAGAGCATAGTAGGTTAGTCAGTTTTCACACCGTCCAAGCTGACACGAAACAGTGGAGGGGAAGCCAGGTCATGTGCCCAGTTGTGTAAGCCACATGAGAATTAAAAACAAGCGACTGATGACTTATAATATAGGTCTCAAGAGTTGGGGGGCTAACCGGGCATATTATCTTTCTATTTTCAACTTAATTCTTTCCCTTTCACTAGCATAACTGGTTACTGCTTAATAGACCCAGGCTAATTAAAAACTTTCATCTGGGAGTTTCCAGCTTAACCAGGACCAGTCAAGACAAGCAATATGCCGTAGGCCTCCCAACTGCACTTGGAGAAACTGAGGCAAGAGAAATAAACGCTAGAAATGCCCACTTAAACATCTCTTAGTTGAGTAACCACTGTATCCCGAATAAGGAAGAAGCTTACCGCTTTCCCCTGTGCAGAATCGAATGTCAGAAACCTGAGGTCAGAATCTGTCTCCAAGGGCCGCTCCAGATCATAAGGTTCTCCATTCACTTGAGCAGCCACTGCAGTATCTGCCAGGTTTGAACTTCAGCAGTGAGGAATACAGGTAAAGCAAAAGACAAGGTTACAATCCAAAGGCGAGACAAGAACTAATCTCTTAGTAACTCCAAATCTGCAAAGGGGAAACGTGTTAACCAGAGCAATACAATTTATCATTCCTCTCCACCCGCCAAGCCTAATGAATGAAGGTCAGAGACTATGAAACTAATTCAGATTGAAAAGGAATTGGCAGGAAATGCTATCTTGAGGAGGATGGGATAAACATACAAAGTCTTTTCCCTACTCAAATTGAGAAAGACAAAGCAGAGATATAAGCATTACCCTGGTAGGTACAGAATGAGCCTAGTACCTAATCTGCTGGGCTAGTTGGTAAGGGGTTGTCTTCCATGCCACAGCATCGACTTTCTGACCTCCAGGAAGTGATATCTTAATAGTCCGCTGTTCCTTCTGTGCCATGCTTGCTAACCTCTTTACCTGAGCAGTCCATAGCTCCTCAAAATGGCCAAGCCGCTCTACCAACCAGTGTGGAGGGGTCGGCACAGTTGCCTGGAGGGAAAGATGTTAAGAAGTAACAGAGGTTCCAAAATTCCTTCCTGGGATTGGGACCGCGTGAAATTAGAACGTTTAAGTGGCCATGGTCCGAATCCTGGGCCTTTAAAAACACTGGGTGATACAGGGCCCTAGGCTAGGAGCTCTAGGCTCCCCAGGCTGCTAACCCGAGGGAAAAAATGGCGCGTCTAAGGGCTAGGGTAGTCGGGTTGGGGGCCGCTGGCGGGAGCAGAGGGTGTCAAGCAGGGTTAACAGCCTACACTCTGGGGTTCCGCTGGGCTGGGTCCAATGTGGCTCGGAACTTTTGGGTATCTCACGCACCGTGTGCAGCCCGCAGGCGTATAACCCTGGGAACCGAAGCCGCCGACACCTCTGATATAGCCCCATTTTCCCTCAGTTCAGTCCTACATACTCAAATAAATGATCGCCGCTTCTCCTTCGCCAGATTCCTCATTGACGTCTGGCCCAACAATATCCATGCCTATTGGTTACTACAGCTGCCGCTCCAATCTGGGACCACCCCCAGGAACTCCGAGGAGTAACACCCCACGCAGCACTAGCAGCGGTGTGGGTGGTTCCGCCTGACCGGAAGACCTAAACTGTTACACACTTGGGCAATTCCAGAGACCTGCAGTTTCGAATCAAAAGAGCAGTAAGATATCCTGCGGCTTTGAGGACAGGGGCAGAACAATCTCCCAGAATGCGAGCGGAAGAGAAACAGATCGGAAAGGGTAGTCATTTCCTTTTAACCTTACGTTTTCTTTTACACAGTCTTCACTGGCAGGTAGGAAAGAGGTAAAAGCATATACTTTGAGATAAGACAGATCGAGTGTAAATCCTGGGAATTGTGTCATTTTCGGTAAATTAACTTCTAGAATTCCCTAGCGGCCCAGTGGTTAAGACTCTGCTCTTCCCCGGCAGAAGCCACAGGGAACTAGGAGCCCACAAGCCAGGCAATGCGACAACAGCAGACACTCCCAAAGAAAGTAACTAATGAACTTCAATTTTCATATCTATAAAATGGGAATAATAGTTCTCATTTTGAATTGTTAAGGTTAATTTTATATTAATTGGTTAATATATTGCATAGTACATAGTAATGGGCAACACTAGTGACAAGCTATGAGAAAAAATGAATATAATCACTTTGGGGCTAGAGCAAAGAATCTGCAGAGGGCCTTCTTTGGCGTCCCTTCATACTCATGGTGCTTAAAGAGGGCCCTTTAGAGACCCCTTAATCTTACAGATGAGGAATTTAAGGTCAGAGAAGGTAAGTGGTTTAATGCCAACTGATGCTGGATTCTGAATCCAAGCTTCGTATTCTTCTACCACAACAGACTTTCTCTGGTAATAAGAGTTTACTCCCAATGCAATTCCCCCAACAGCTCAGAAAGAAGTGCCTGACCCTAGAACCTTAGCTCTCGGCTTCTGACCAAGACTGCCTCTAATTTCCATCCTAGCTTTCCTTAGCACTCCCCGTTATATCCAGAACACAGGACTAGGTGCATTTGATTTGTTTTCTACAGTAAAAATTGAAACACAACCAGATTTGTAAAGTATGAGGGGAAATGGATTTAGGGACAGATGTGAGGTTCTTAGTAATTCCCATTAGTCCCCTCACCTGAGGGTGGGGATGGTTGGTGTTGGTTCTCAAGTTTCCAATGGTGATGTTATCAAGCATTGTGGAGGAAGAGCTGTCATAGAAAGGTGTTTAATCTACGTTTCCAGAGGTTCTGTCTGGGGAGGCAGCAGTTGATCTGAGTCACAGGCACCACTCTGGATCTTGGCTCCATCTTCTGGTATGTTAGACACCCTGAAATAGAAAAAGAAATAGACAAGAGTGTGCAAGAGGAAGATTACTTGTATGTGTGTGAGTTTGGGAGAAGGTTGGAAGAATTTTTAAATGGCATTCAGAAGTGTGAGAGCAGGCAGAACTCTTCCCATGGCTCTGCACCAGAAGGGACATGGGAGTGTTACACTGCATGCAGCAGAATGGTAGCTGCTCTGTAAGTAATTATTAAGAATATACTGATCACTGTGCTGACTTGAAACCCCACAGGACTTGTATACTGACACATACCTTCTTTAATCATTCTACTTTGGGAGGATAGTAGAGGGATGGCGGGATAAGTAGATAATTCGTTACAGTAGCTGCCTGCACTCATCCCTCAAACATGTACTGACTACTTCTTATGTGCCATGTACTGAGCTGGGTGCTAGGGGATGCCAGTCAATCAACTGCTACGTCATCACTTATGTGACCTGGTTTGCAATGGAAGGAAGGAATGTCATGTTATTCCATTCCTCCCTGTGTCACAAGCCAGCCAGCAAGCAAGCAGGCAAGAGTAAGCTAGCGAAGGCCAACACATTAATCACTGGGTCTTCACAATTTCTGATCTGTGACTAGCACGTCTCAGCCTCAGAATTTTAGCCAATTAGCCTGCTGGGGAAATATCTGTTGCTAAAACTGCTCCTACCTTCCACCAGAATATTACTGAAAAACCACTATGTGCCAAGTGCCATGCTTCACTATCTCACTGAATTCCGAGAACCCCAAGTAGTTCTTCTTATAGTCCCTTTAAAATGTTGAAAATGACTCTCAAAGAAGTCAAGCCCCACTCCATCTGAATGCAGGACCAGTTATATAACATGTTATGCTGTCTCATAGGGACCAGGATCATCACCAAGCAATATGTTTGGTAGCTTATCTTTTCCTCTCCTTTGGGCCCTAAGAGGCCTTTAATAGGGTGGAGAGAAAGTAATAAAAAGCCAAGAAAAGAGGCAAAGAGGCATCTTACCAAATAACCTCTACCAGTCTAAGGTTAAGGAAAAAGAAGAATTTAGGAAATAATGCCAGGTTTCATGGAAGTCTAGGAAAAAGAACTCCTCAGAAAAGGATACACTACACCCTGAATCAATTTTGAGAAACTCTCAGCTTTACTCCAGTCTTAGAATAGACAACCTGTTAGTTACAGCTTTGGTTGAGGAGGTATTGTTTTTTTATCATCTTTAACTGTTTATAAGAATTCTGCCCATGGAGAGTACAGTACATTTCCCCCTTGTTATCAGGAGCAACACATACCTCCAAATCTTCATTCTTAGAAGCAAAATTTCCCTATACCAAAGAGGTGGAAGAGATATTGGAGGGAAAAAAGAGAAATGAAACAAGGTAAAATACAAGAAAAGTTTATGTCATTGCCACAAAATGCTTTTGAGGCCCAAAGAACTAGCTGAGTGGCTAAAGCTACAGTAGGTGCTGTGGGGAGGTTACGTTAAAATAATTTCTTTCTCCCCCCAGTAATACAGATTTAGGATGGGGCCAAATTTTAACTTTGCTTTAAATATACTACAAAGAGATAATCCAGCCAACTTTGCTGAGTAAATCGAGGGGGAAACATCCTACTCAGAGCATGGGGATAAATTGAAAACAAAACCTTGGGCTCCCCTAAAAAGTCTCTACTAAGATTGTCCTTTCCCAAGACATTTCTTGAGTCTGTACAAGAGAAATACAGCCACCACCATGCCTTTAAATGACCCTGGTTGGTCAGCTGGAGAAAATATGAAGTTTCCCAAACATAGGAGCCAGTGTCAACTTAAGTTTGATGCTGAAATAAAGTAACAAAAACAAAGATCTAAGTACCCTGAAGGAAGGTCCCAGATATATTTGTACAAGTATACAACTATGCCCCACTAGCCAAAATCCAAGATTCCAACTTAATACTTTACTGATCTCTACTGCCCTTGGCAACGATTGGCCACCTAGAAAACATGAGACCTTGAGTGTTGCCTTATGTAGGTGCAAAGGATTTCTAGCCAGGGGAAGAGGAAACCGAACTAGATGCTGCCCATCTCCTTTCTACCCATTCCAACTGAAACACCCCAAGAAAAATGTAGGAAGTTTCAAGTCCTATCTCCTCCTTCCCACAAATTAAGTGACAAAGGACTTAATTTTCAAGAAAGGGATCCACTGGGGAAGGGAAAGGAAGGAATGTTGGAACATCTAATTTGCTAAGAACCCCAGCAGATCCAGGGTTGCTGGGTTAGTCAACAGCCTTTTGAGTCAAACACAAAAAAACCTGCAGCCTGTATTTGTTTGTTGTTGGCACTGCTCACTAGCCCCTCCACCCACATCTGTGTTCTCAACTTTTGACGCCTGCTACAGTGATAAAAGGAAAAGGATAGGGAGGAAAAATGGAACCATGAGGTAACTGCAATTATCAGCTTCTAAATCCATCTCAGCCTTCCTATCCGGTTCCCCTCAAACTTCTAAGTATTGTTTCTTCTGTCCCCCCCACCCCCCAGTTTGTCAGAAATAATTTGACATTTTTACATGGCACTTGCTCCTTTCCTTTGAAGCACGTGTGCTTCTTTCTACTTCTACATGGGGGGAGAACAGGATGTTTACCTAAGAGCCATCTCACCGGTGTCCCTCTTGCAGACTCAATGAGTTATTACTCAGCAACTGTCAACAGCAGCTGACCGGACTTGCCCATATGGTTTACTCATAAACAAGTATGAGAAACGCCTCCATACCCTAAAACATGCTGTCTACATACATGAGGGGGCAACTCATTCCTTCTACACCATATTGGCCCAAATAAAACAATTTTGTGGAAGCTGTGCATTTTCAACATGCCCAGAAAGGCCAATGAGGAGTTGTAAAAGCTGTTGCTTCCTTGGGATGGGGACAGGAACCAGGTGGCAAGTCCAGGCCCAAGTGGGGACCAGGAAGTAAGGGTGAGCTGGATTCCAGAAGCGGCCAGTGCAGTGTACACCCCTACCTGCTGGGTGTGTTCCTAGACTGTGCTATTTCTGAAGCATCTGGTGACACGTGTGCAGGTTCACGTATTCAAGGCTGCTTATTTAGGGCCTTCTACCCTGCCAGGGATCCAGGCCTGGTCTAGATGCAATGACTCTCTTCACCCCTTTAGCCAACATTCCATTTATTAAGCCTCACTGGGTCATAAAAAGGGATGTGGTGAGAGAGCCGCTGAGTGTGGCTTCTGTGACAGGCAATACGCGAGAAGGGTAGATGTGGGCAAAGAATTTGCCAGAAAGATCCCGACTGCCACTACTCCAATTTTATGCTTGCTTTAAAAATATTTTGCTCACAACCGTACAATTTTTTGGAAGACGTACAAAATTATCATCCATACGGTATACCCACTTCATTACCAACCACTCCCTGAACATCTTGATCTTGCCCCACCCATTGTCCCTTTCCAAAATTGAACTGCCATAAAGGACCAAACCAAACCCACAAGGCCATAAAGATCTTAAGCAGCTCAGAATGCCTTCAGTGACATTGAGTGCAGTAGTCAAAGGGGACAGCTGGACAAGATCAGAGGGGAAAAGTCAACCACACAACAAAGGAAGCCATACTTTATTAAACAGGAAAACAAAAACATAATATCGGGGGCAAAGAGATTAAAAAAAAAAAGGAATGGCTGGAAGAGAGGAAAGCGCAAGCGGTCGCAAGGCAGGCTTGAGATGGGGGGTCTTTGGCGTGTGTTTGCCTCAGACCTGTGCGGGTGCACACACACCAGCCCCTCTATCCTCCTTGCACGTTTAGACCAAAAGCAAATACAACTGTATCTTCAGAGATATATTCAGGCTTTTCTTCCTGCATTGCTGTAGCTGGTTTCACCTTCAGCCCTGGACAGTCATGGAGGGTCTTTGCTGGAGAAAATTTAGGTCTTTCCAACAATAGGCCTGTTCCACAAAGCAGCAGTTTCAGCTTCTGGAGAAGTTCCCTCCTATTTGCACTCACCAGAGAAGTCAGGGGCCCTTGGTCAAAGCCCCAGATCTCAAAGAAAAATGTCAAACCTTTAGAACTAGTTATTTTATTAAATGATATTAATACACATTTCAAAAGGATTTCATTGTTGTTGCCTCTAAAGCATGTACTTGTTTTGTTTTCCACACTGAACACGTGAGAATATCAATCCAACATATCTAATTTAAATCTTAACAGGCACCCCAGCCCATTCAAAAAAAGGGGGGGAGGGAGGCAAAAAGGAGAAAAAGCAGTAATTTACAGCGGCTTCAAAACAGTAACAGCTGAAGCTTACTTCTGCATGAACCAGTAACTTCAGGACTGATAGTGAATATTCTGCAATTAGGAGTTTTAGCATATTCACATTATCTAGATAGGTTTGCTGTACCATATACATCACAAACATTGTATTCCTGGGACTGGAAAGGATAAAAGACCTATTCTCTTATCATTTTACCCTCCCTGGAAACAAACCAAATTCTATTTATTCTCAACAAAATTTGGGAGGGCAAATGGGAGCAAGGATAGAGGTTGAATCTAAGCTGACTGATGAGTAAACTTTTACAGAATATTTTAGGACTCAATTTCTGATGTTGTATCACTGAATTTTAAGTGGTACCAGTGTACTCAGGCCCCACCCACCGATTCTGTCTGTGATTTTACAGTGAGCACCAAGAACCTTAGTAACAACTTCGCATTATCTGTTTGCTTACTGAATCATGTCCTTGCCAAGACACACTATGCTATGCTTTTTTAAAAAATCTTGTTCTCAGGTTGAAATACAAAAGAGCATGGGCACGGAGGTTTAAATCACAGACACAGAAAGAATAAAACCCCTTTGTTTCATGTTATGAATACCAAATTGTCTTGTTTCACTATATCACATATATACACATCGTTGTCTTCACTGACTGCTGTAGGCAGATGTCCTTAACGTTAACAAGCAGCTGACAGTTACATACAAATCCTCATTTCCATCCTGAAACAAATGGATTTTGTGGCTTAAAAAACCAAAACACATTCCACAGAAACCCAACCCTTAAAGTCCATCTTTTAAAACTGTACAAGGTCTTCCCTTTCATGTACTAGCTATCATGCTTCTGAGGACAATTACCTGCCCCAACATTCAGGACACCACTTTGCTGACCAACCCCCCATTTTCTGATAAAATCAAATGGTCAGAGAGCCTTTTCAAGTAAACACTACTTTTAGATTAATTGAGAGCAGTAGAAAGAATTCACATTCTTTTATTCTAGAATGAAAAACATCCCATTTAATTTTCTGCAAAAGAAAAAAAAACCTATTTCAGTTTTGAATTAAAACTTTCTCTTTACCTCCCCCCACCCCACCCTCACACTCTGTTACACTTTTCTCTAAACGAATGTCTTAGAACTCAGTGTAACTGTATTGTTTCTTTGTTTTGCTACACTATATACCTCATCCCACTTACAAGGTCCTGGTATCATGCATTTTTTTTTTTTTTTTTTGCAGGGAGAGCTACAGGGCAGAGAGGCTTGAGAAGGTCAAAGAAAGAACAGCTGGCTTAAGACCAGAAATGCATCAGGAAGATGGAGGACTTGCAAGATCCTAACCACAGAAAACATGGAGAGTGCAAACAAATAACATGGAATAAATTACACAAAAACTCCCAAACTATGATGCACACCTGGTTTGAGCTGCTCTTTTACCTGCAAAGCATGCTTATTCTGAGACAAAGACTCATCTTCTGTCACTACATTTTCCACGCTCTCCCATATATAAAACTGGGGGAATCCAATGCAACCCCCATACTTCCTACAGTTACTTCTACACTAACTTGGAAGAAAATATGAAACTTGCTAGGATGTCCTTTAATAGTCTTTTACTCATCTGGCTGGAGATTACCAGTGTGTACTTTAAGGGTAAGACACTAAATAAAAAAATGTAGTAAAGCAAGATTTGCTTTTCAGTGTCCCTAAACACTAAGCGCAGTGATTGTCTTTTCCCAGGACTAGCTGTAGAAATACAAATAAGGAACCTTTCAGTTCAGGGAGAAATAAAGCACTTTTTTTTCCCCCATGTAAAATGACTAAGGGCATAAACATTTTCTATTGAGAGTGGGAGGTGAGGATAAGGTTTGAGCCTTGAAATGTGACAGGTTGCTATCCACAGAGTGGGGTAAATTTAAACTAATCAGATCCTCCTGTTTGTCTGCAAGGATATGTATAATATCCAGTTGTCACTAAGACAGAGCTAAAGAGGTGTATAAAGAAAGATGCTACTGAACTTCCTCCTTCAGAATACCAAGAAGAGGGGTGAATACAGGACTAGGTCAAAAGAAAGATAAAGACAAATATTTCCCTTTCCCCATAGTTAACTTTTGGTGACAACCACCAACAAATGTCACATTAGGGAGGCACCATGGTAAAAATGTCTACTTAAAAAAAAAAATACTGGGATAATATCTGAGAATGTTTCAGTTGCACCTCTGTATCTACTATCAACTACAGTGACTTTCTGGCTAGACTAGAAACGTAGACGAGAAAACTGAGGAAGAAAAAGTCAAGGAAAAAAAAAAAAGCAGGAAGCAAGAGCTTGATGCCAGATATGTGAAACCACCTCAGAAATATGTTTATGACAGATGGGCAGGTCAGATCACACCATCAATGGCTCCTTTCTCTCACTCTGTATTGCAGTTACTTATTCTTTTAATTTTAATATACCTGGCCCCCTTTCTTCTACTCAAAGGAGGAAAATTCTTTACTAGGATAAAATGAGGTCCATCCAAGTTGCTGCCTGATAGTACTTCAGAAGAGGCTGAATTAAAAAACAAAGGCTTAGACTTTGGGAGAAAGGTCAAGAACTCAAATTCAATATGCCTTTTAAAACAAAAGAAAACCCCCAAATAACTTGACAGGTCCAAGGTCTCCCACATTTCCTCCCCTGCACCATCTCTTGGCTGTCAGCAGGCCACAGGGCACACGGGGAAGACAGCCACCCCGGTTACAGCAGTTAGCTGAGCTGGAGAGAGAAGGGGACAAGAGTCCTTCCACTGACTCCTTGAGAAGCCAAGCCCCAAATAACATCCCAACATTGCACATGGTATTAGCTGTACTGATGGAAGTTTTATTTCAAATGTAGTAATACTCTTCAATAGATGGGGTAAAATAAGATTTGTTTTCCTCCCCACCCTTCAAACCCCCAGCCAAATGAAGTGGCTTTAGTTGTGTTTCTTTGCCCCCCCACCCCCTTAAAATACAAACATCTTGGAAAAGATAGGTATAAGTGCAGTGGGAGGGAGGACTGGATGGAATAGTGAAATGTAAGCATATATAAATTTTTAATTTGGAAGGGAGGTCCTTTGTTATAATAAAAAAAAGAAAGAAAAAATAGATCAAAGGAGGGAAAACAAATAAAAACAATGATAATAAACCAAACTCCTATTTCCAATGCTCTCTACTGTTCAAATGCCTTTCCCTTAGTTTCCATCAGTACCTGGGAGGGAAGAATGGGCGTTTTGGTGCAAAGAACGGAGGGCCCCTAGCGAAAGGTGGCCTGGGCCTCTTTAAACTGTGGAAAGGGTCTCTGCTGAGAAAAGGCTCCCTAGGCCGGAAGTCGGGCCGGGGACTCCGCAAGATCATACCACTCCGGTTGATGGCGTCTCTGTGTGAGGGACCCAAGGGGGGGCCACCGCTGCTGTTGCTGCCTCCCCCACCTCCTCCTCCATGGGCTGCGCCCAAGTGCTCCAAAGAATGGGAAGGCAGGCTCAGGCTCTCGCGTACACGGCTAAGGCCGGGGCCGTTGAGGTCCCGCTGGGTGGGGCCCCCATGGTCCCTGGGTCCTGGGAGCACACCGAAATGATCAGCCAGGGTCCCCTGAAGGAGGGAACTATGGTCCTTGGGAAATACTGCCACAGCCCCCGCCACTCCGTGCTCTGCCAGTGGTGGGGCCGGGAAGGGTACAACCCCAGAGTGGTCACCAGGAGGTGGAGGAGGAGGAGGAGCAGAAAAAGGGACGCCACTCCCGCCACTGGTGCTATGTTCCCCGGGGGGCGGAGGAGGGGGTGGGGTGGGGAAAGGAACTCCGCCGTGCTCCCCAGGAGGTGGGGCAGCGTGGGCCAGGGCTGCCTCCTTTGCGAAGGGGTTCGAAAGATCCACAGAGGGTAGATGAGTAGGTGCATCTCGAGAGAAGATACCACCATGATCCTTGGGAGGGGCGGGCGGGGCAGATGATGGCCCCACTGGCTCTCTCTGGAAGGGTGTCCCATGATCCAAGGGGGATGGGGGGAGATGATGCTCAAATGTTGAGTTGAAACTGCTGGATCGGAAGCTGCCGACACTCTCCTGAAACTGGGGTGCTCGTTCTTTGTATGGTGCTGTTTTAAAGCCAGTGAGGCCTCCGCTGCCCCCACCCCCAAGGGATGCCAACTCAGAGGCACTTGAGGGGCCATTGTCAAAGGAGCCACCTGAGGTGCTCAGATCAAACCAACCCACCCTTGAAGCCTCACGCCCATGTCCTCTATTTCCCTTCCCAGGGACTCGGATGGACTCTACAGTCTGTATGGGCTCCCCTGACATCCTCCTATTGGATGCATTATGATAACCCAAGGTTTCTATAGGGGCCCCCTTCTCTTCGGTACTATCAGGCAAGTCTAAGCAGGAGGAGGAGACTCGAGTCTCTATGCGATAGTGCTCTTCTTGTTGCTGCTGATCAGCGGCTGTCAAGCTGAGCTGGGCGAGGTTTGACAGGCTGACACCATCACTTGAAGTGCCCTTGTTGGGGGCCTGGCCAAAATGTTTATCATCTGAGGGCTTTCGTGAGGCATTCTTAAGCATATTCTTAAACTCAATCGTCGACGTGGTGGAAATGGTAGAGGCCAGGACTTTCTCCACGCCTGACGTGGGTGGGTGGCCCGTGGGAGCGGCAAGGGTATTCTGCGGAGAGAAAAGGGACCGATGTGGGACTGGGTGAGGAGAGTCTGGGTACTGCTTCTGCGGCAAAGTGAGATGACCTGTGGTAGACTGAGACAAGCTATTGTGGTTGGAGTCAGGGGTGAAAAATGAATCATTCTTACTCGGTGATGGTGACCGGTCAGACCCCGCTTCATTTCCTCTGATGCCGAAGGCACTGAACAGCCCAGGGGAAGACGAAAGCCGGTCACAGTTCTCACTAGAGTCCAGGAGGGCCCTCACAGACGGAGGGAAGGCAGACTTTACCCCAAATTCTTGACCCCTGTGGCTATAACTGGACAGGATTGGCTGGTACTCAGTGCTATCAGAAAGCTTGCTTGATTTCAGGATAGACTTGGCTGGTTTCTTCTCCAGGTTCATCATGGCAGATGGTGGAGGCCCTGAATACTCAAAATCTCGGTAATCTTCATCTTCCTGGAAAGAAGTATCTGGATAAAACTTCTCCTGTGAAGAGTCCATCAGAGAAGACGGTCTCTCCATTCCATCAGAAGGCTGCTTATAGGGGGAGTCACTGCCCAAGCCAAAGGGCCGAAACGTAGACACAGAACTGGAGAGCTCTCGGGGGAAGCTTTCCTCTCTCCCAGGGGGTGGTGATCTTGTACTGCTGGGTGTTGAGGAACCAGGGCTAATGATCTTAGAAAGCAGGGACATGGTATCCACACTGCTGGATGTGGGCTTGTCCATCATCTCATCCTGAGTGGGCGTTCCACTCCGTTCATCCCGTACCGGGGTTCCATCAATATTGTCGACTGACGTGCTAGTAGGGCCACGCTGGAAGTCTGATGGATGGCTTTCAGTTGGAGCAGTGGATCCCAAACTGCTCAGGATTGGGATGTTTAAGTTTAAGCCACTGAAACCAGGATTACCTTTTAAGAAGTTGTGGATCTTCATTTCCAGGCTTGGGGAGGTGGACTCTGACTCCAGCTTTGGCTTGGAGGCCTCTGAGGATTGGCACATGGCAACTTCAGTAGGCGGAGCAGCAGGGCTAGCATTGTGGTTACCTGTGAACCCCAGAGTGTTGGAGGGGAGCTTGAAAGTAGTGCTTGGGAGCCCTGGGCTTTGCCCAATTGAGGCCTTGCTGGCTGAAGTTGACGAGACTTCAGAAGTTGAGGAATTAGGAGAATAGTTGAAGCTTTTGGGAATAAAGGACTGGGTATTGGATGGCAGGTTTCTTCCTTTTATGCTAGAGACTGTGGTGTTAGCAGGGGAAGCTGAAGTGCTCTGGGGTGCAGCTTCGCTGGATGGAACTGGGTTCCCAGTAACACTCTGAAGTAAAGATGACAGGCCTGTAGAAACAAAGATTAGAGAAGTTAAGAACAACAACTCCCTACTTTCCAATGTAAACAATGTAGGCTAATCAGATATTCTCATTCATTCCAGTGGGAACTAGACAAACATTAAAATATGAGATCAAAGGGAATTCAGACCAAACAAGTAATGGCTTATCAATGTAAGGAGAGCAAATTACTGAAATGTTTCTAGTAGTCATGAAACAAGGCCAACATGGCAAAAATAAAAGGCAACAGGAAGAGGGAGATTTTAGTGTCAGAATCACTCAGAGTTTAAACAAGACAAAGCAGGAAAAGAAAGGGGGCATAATTATCTGTAAAATAACACTTTAAGCCAGTACTTCTTAATGTTTGGTCTGCAGAATTGTTTCTCTAAACGCAAATAGATATTCTGCCCTATCCTTCCTTTCCAACTTCCGCAACTGTCTCTAATAAGTTAAGGTACAATTATTCTTAGGACAGAGAGAACGACATCCAAATTGCAGGGACTTATGTGACTTGTGATGCTTTTTTTAAGAAGCATATCTTGCTGGATTGGTGTTATATTTGGGGAAACAAGGCTTCAGTTGTAAAATTTTTAGTTGTAAAATGTAGCAATAATATACAAATATACACCACAAAACTTATAGAACTAGACCTTTGGGGACACTGATCCTTTGACAAGACGACACACAATCCCCTTCTTATAGCTTGGAAAACTCAAGGATTATTGGTCTATACATGTTGACACTGATGAGATCCAACTCTACTCGATGACAGACAAAACATTCTCAGAGCACCAAGAAAGAATTCTTTGGGGCCAAAGGCAGGCTGAAGTCCACCAAAGCAAACTGCTCCTGTAGAAAATTTCTTGAAAAAATATTTGATAAAGAAATAACAGAAGGTTCTTTATTTAAAATCCAATCACATTTTGGAAAATTTACTCAATTTCTGATCACAAATGAAAATTTTACATACACTTCACCTGAATCAATAGCTTTCAGTCATATACTAAAACTGTTCCTTCATAATGATATATGAAAGAAAATAATATTTCATTTGATATTTCAATTATTGTTTCTTTAAAATTTCAATTTTTATCCTTACTTGCTAAGAGATTTAAGGTCTTAAAAATTTTAAGATTGTTCCATTCTTTGCAGCATTTTCAAATGCCACTGACTTTTAAACAATGATGCATGGTTTTTATTATTATCCAATCATATAATTTTAAAAAGATATTTCAGCATATCTTTCAGATGTTGTGAAATGAATTCTTCAAGAGATCATCTTCTTAACATAGATACTACTCAGCTTTCTGGTAATAGGGGAAGTATTACTCTCTTACCACTAAATATTACTTTACTTCAATCTTAAACCATACACTATGGTGTTTGCCCACTGAAGTCATTCTTCTGTGCTGAAAACATCACTAAGGGCTGTAGGTGAAATATTGTGAGCAAAGTTCTAAGAGATTTCCTTAATGGTTGTTGAAGAAAGTATCTTAAAGTTGTCAGACATAGTCCTTTTAAAAGGTAAGGAGAATTCCACTTTCCATGAGGAACTCAAAGGTGGTGAACTGCCCTGTTACTCCACAAAGTTTTTCTTCTAAGAGTCCCACTTTTTATTCTGTCACAACACATCTAGTTCTGTTCAAATTTTGCCTGATTAGAAGGTCTACATGATATTGTTTTAACAATCTGCCCAAAGAAAAAGCTTCTTAAGATCTATGTATTATATCTATATAAGAAGTTAAAATACAAGTGAGTTCAAGGTTTTTACTGTAACTACAGAATGATAATAGAAGAGAAACTAGAAAGGAGAAATCATCAACCTGCCAATCTCTCAAACTACTTATCCCTGAAATTAGTAGTGTGAGTTGCACTGTAGCATATCATTAATTCTTTTGCTGGAGCCAATATGTAGAGGTGTGGCTTATTATTTAGTAGTATTTAGTCATGTGTAACAAAATTCTCTTATATTGTAAGACAAAGCTCACTCTAATACAGTGCTTGGTGGATCCACTTACAGAAGTATAGGAAATAAGAAAACGAATAGATACCTGTACTGCTGCTCTCTATTCATAAAAAGCGGGATCTCAGCAACACTGACATTCTGGGTTGCATACTTTGTTGCTGGGGTTCTCCTATGCACTGTAGGATTAAGCAGCATCCCTGGCTTCTACCCATCAAATGGAGTAGCTCCCCACCTCAACCCCAGTTATGACAAACAAAAATGTCTTCAGACACAGCCAAATGTCTCCTGGAGACTTCTGGTTAAGAACTACTGATGCAGAGTAAATCACTATATTGAAGCTGTAATTCACTGCATAATTATACTCAGGTTGGTATTTGAAGGATCTGAGAACAAAGAGCAAGGTAAGCTTTATGAAAAAATGTTAGAAGCAAAAAAAAAAAAAAAAAAAGCAGCAGCAGACAGTTTTAGGCACAAAACATAATTAGCAAAGCTGAATAGAGAGATTTAAAAAGTCAAGAGATAATAGGTAGGTTTCCCTGGTGGGAATCTGCCTGCAATGCAGGAGACCTGAGTTTGATCCCTGGTTTGGGAAGATCCCCGGGAGAAAGGAATGACAACCCACTCCAGTATTCTTGCCTGGGAAATCCCATGGAAGGAGGATCCTAGTGGGCTATAGTCCACAGGGTTGCAAAGAGTTGGACATGACTGAGCAACTAAAACATTCACTTTCAAGAGGTAGTCAGAAAACAGAAGAAAAAGGTATGACATCTATAGAGGCCATCTGGACATAAAAAAAGAGATAATCATGTCTTTGAAGATTTCTGATAGTAGACTGATCTTTTTTATTGTTTTTAGTTTCAGTTAACATTATATAAAATTCAACACACACTCACCTATACTAAGAGTATGGGATAAATAAGTGAAAGAATACTGGACTCCAGTCAAGAAATCTGGCTTTTAGTCTCAGCTCCTCTAAAAAGACCGGTGTGTGACCTTAACCTGGTCACATCACCTCACTGAGCCTCAATTTCCTCACCCAAGGAGAGGATTAGACTAGAGCATATTTAAAGTCTTTAAGTATTCTTGACATTTCAAAATTCTATAAATGACACGTCATATATGACAAAGAGAATCATGAATTAGCTGTATTATATATTTCATGGCTTTAGATTTCTCAGAAATGGTATCCAGGATTAAGCCAGAGACAGACATTCAGAGTTCAAACCCCTCTGGCACATGTCAGTTTACCTTGCAGTGCAGGGGCTGACTGTGTCTGGGTTTTGGAAAGAGCAGACAAAATGCTCTCTGGGGTGATCTCCACCTTCGAGAGGATATTTGCCAGAGGGTTGTGAGATGTTGCTGTGGCGGGTGCAGGTGTTTTCAGGCCACTGGTGAGGTTGCTCGGGCTTGTAGGAGTTCCTGGAGAAGGTCTTGATGCAGGACTGACCCCTGGTGGCAGAAAGATCAACTCAAGAATATGCAATTCAAAATGACCTTTTAAATGCACGACACTTTCCAGTCACTGAATTGAGTCTGATATGTCTCACAGGAATTCTTCTGTGCATGATCCACTAGTTGTCCATTGCATATACAAAGAAAAAATCTGAAAATTAAGACTTGTTCCTGTCTGTTGGAACACCATTAAATTAGACAAATATCAAGTTTTTTTTCATATGTATTTACTAGCCGTCACAGCCCCAGCAGAAAGAGATTGGAGAACCTGTTTCTTTTTTCTCTACCAAACGAAACCTACACATCAGACTTCTGTAAGTATTCAATAAATATTGCTGGTTAATTATGATCAGACTTGGTTACTTCATGATTCTATGAGATAAATAACTTATTTCCTTTCACATGGACTTTTCATACAAGCAATCTTTATATTTTAACATTGTGAAACACTGGGTTAATTTTTAACAGGAAAAAAGGTATATAAAGAGAAAGTCAGTTTTATTTTTTAATATAAACAGGTATTAAATACAGAAAAAGTTACCAATAAACAAATGAAAGAAAATTTTACATCTTTAATGAAAGGAATGCAGATTCCAATAAACAATTTTTTCTAAGACTGAATTTGACAAAGTATAAAACAAAACTAAATTGTGTTGGAAAGATTGATAAACAATGGGAACTTTCATATAGCTGGTAGACAAAATAGTACATCTTTTGGAGATTGTTTTAGTTATAAAAAACTTAAAAACCTACATGTTGATTTTTTTGAGTCTTTATCTTTTAGAAATAAATATTTAATTATTTATGAAGAAATGAAATAATTGGGCTTTTCTTCAAAATAATCAGGACTGGAGAAGACACAGGAGGAACAAGATTGGCCATGTGTTTATACTGTTGAAGATGAATGATGAACATATACAAGGGCTCTACTTTGTATATTTTCATTAAGATTTCCATTAAAAAAAAAAGTCCTATTTAAAATTCCTTTCAAGAAGGGTTGTGCATACATTTTTAGCATCAAGGTTGTTCATTAAGTATTCTTTACAACAGTGAAAAACTGCAAACACACTAGATGGTCTAATAATAAAGGCTTATATAAACTACTGAATGCTGTATAGCTATCAGATGATGTAGATGAATATTTAATGACTTACAAAAATGCTTATGATATGGAGTTAAATTTTTAGTAGCTGATTTCAAAACAGTACAGTTGTCCCTCAGTATCAATGGGTGGCTGGCTTCAGGACCCCTGAATATACCAGAATCTGTGGATGCTCAAGTCCCTTGTAAAACGGCATAGTATTTGAATATAACCTATGCTCATCCTTTTATACAGTACCTATGTGTGCATATATTTATTTACCACGCCACATGGCTTGCTGGATCTTAGTTCCCTGATCAGGGACTGAATCTGGGCCATGAAAGTGAAAGTGCCTAGTCCTAAGCACTGGACGGCCAGAGAACTCCTCATTCTTCCATATACTTTAAATCATCTCTAGATTTAGTTATAATACACATTACAATGTAAATGCTATGTAAGTAGTTGCCAGAGCAGGGCAAGTTCATGTTTTGTTTTTTGAAACTTTCTGAAAAAAATTTCCCCCCAAATATTTTCAATCCATGGTTGGTTGAATCCATGGATGTGGAACCTGCAGCTGCAGAACTCATGAATATGGAGAACCAACTGTATATGCAATACACTTCAACTATTTCCCCTCCCAATGCTTCAATTATTGACAGAAAAATTAATGCAAATATTTTACTTCCCAAAACACACATATATATGCACACACACACACATACTTGAAAGGTTAATAAACGGAAGTGAGTTCCTTTGGGGTGGCAGAACTATGAATATTTATTCTTTTAACTTATTTTCTAATTTTTCTATAGTGACCATGTATTGCATTTTTATTTTTTAATTAAAAAATTACTTTTAATTAGAAAACAAAAACAAAACTCAGATTGATGGTTCAATTAGAAAGATAGAAATAAGCTTTTTATTATTACTAGGCCTACTCACCAGTATTTTTTTTTTTGCACTAATTTATTTATTTTTTCCCATTTATTTTTATTAGTTGGAGGCTAATTACTTTACAATATTGTAGTGGTTTTTGCCATACATTGACATGAATCAGCCATGGATTTACATGTGTTCCCCATGCTCAACCCCCCTCCCACCTCCCTCCCTATCCCATCCCTCTGGGTCGTCCCAGTGCACCAGCTCAGAGCACTTGTCTCATGCATCCAACCTGGACTGGCGATCTGTTTCACTTACCAGTATTTTTCATGACTGATGTCAGGCTGCTAAGGATGGAACTGATCTTTGCCAGATCCACATTAGCTAGGTTTGGCAAAGCCAATGCTGGAGTAGGGGAGAGAAGAGATGTATTCACAGGCTTTGGAACAGGTGGGGTTGCTGTCATGGTCACAGGTGCTGGAGTACATGAAGAGGCCTTTGAGATACTTTCTGTTGGCTTTGTAGGTACAGCAGTGGATACAGTCGACTTCTCCACAGGTTTTTCCTTCCTGTCCTCTACTGTTTAAAAAAAAGAAGAGAGATGATATTGCATCCTACTGCTTTCCAGACTCTGCTTCCAATGCAGAATCACATGTCCTAATATTTCCTAAAATGTACTGTCATTTATTAGAGAAAAATCATTCATTCATGATTAAAAAAAAAAAGTCATACTCTTTAATAATTCATGAACCTTCTCATCTTTAGTATCTGCTTAAACTGAATTTCCCAAATGCATCTTTTTCTTTAAAATTTATTTATTTGGCTGTGTTGGGTCTTAGTTGTGACATGTGGGCTTATGTCCTGAGACACATGGGATCTTACTTCCTTGACCAGGAATCGAACATGCATCCCGTGAATGGCAAGGCAAACTCTTGGCTACTGGACCACCAGGGAAGTCCCCCTAGAGCATCTTTTATTTTACTTTTTAATGATTTCTTCCATATTCTTAGTATCTGTGTACTGAATTTGTACATTTCTGGAAGCATGTTATTATTTGGTACACATTTGTGTTTTTTTCAATAATGTTTATGTCATAAACTGTCCTGTCTTTTCTCTGCCGTTAACCTGACAGCTTCCTAAGAGACAGAAACTCTGTACATAAGTTAGTGTACTTTTCTTTGGCTTCCCAAAATTGGTCTATTGTGGGTAAAATCAGACACTACTACAATGTTATAACTCCTGCAGTAAGATTCTCTTAACAGTTTAAAAGCAATGTACTATATGGGTAGTGCATCAAGTTCAACCTAAGTCAAACTGCCTAATAAAAATAATTATAAAAGCTGGGGATGCCAGAGAAACAATTCACCCATCCAGGTTAACTGTGTTAATTGTGTAAGTGTGGTTAATAAAATGAGGCTTCAGAATCTTGAAGGTCAAGAATGACAGAGAATAAGGAATTTCAGCATAAGTGGCCCTCCCTCTAGAGCAGTGCTTGTTCAACAGAAATACAATTCAAGACATATATATAAGTATAAATTTTCTAGTAACCATATAAAAAAAAAAACCACAGGTAAAATTAACTTTAATAATATATTTTATTTACCTCAATACACCCCAAATATTTTCAGTTTAATAAGTTATCAATATAAACAATTATTAATTAGATATTTTCACTCTTCTTTAAAGCACTAAGTTTCTAGAATCCAGTGTGTATTTTGTTTCTGCCACACTACATGGCTTTTTGGACCTTTGGCCCCTGGTAGCAGAAGCGCAGATTCCTAACCACTGGACCAACAGAGAATTCTTGGGACAGCACAGATTCTTAGTCTACATGGCATACCAAATCCTGAACCACTGCTCTAGAGACAATACTACTACCTTGGTGCTCGAATTTTATAAGGATTGAACTACCTTTCTAATACCTGCCGGTGACAGATTTATTGGTGGGGAAAGCAAAACATGTAAGCAGCAAGTGGTCTACTAATCACACAGGACATACCAATGATTTTTGACCCATCGTCTTCCACATCTGAGAGGTCCATGTCTTCCACGTCACGATTATCTGTCGCAGGCTCAGGTGTGGCAGATTTCTCACTCTCTGCGTTTGGTGACTGGGATTCCTCACCTCCCATTCCCTGGAAAGGGGACTCAGAGCCAGTTGGGGAGGGAGCATCCACGCTTGGGGAAGGGACTGGTGATTCCTCAGGATCAGGAAGGGTTGACTTCAATTGATCCAGCTTTTTCTTTAAATTGTTCACTCGATTAGCAAAGGTTTTATATGCCTAAAAGAGAAAAAAAGAGTTTACTCCTCTGAGAAGTAACCAAGAAGCTACCATTCTGACTCGTTCAGATTTCTTCATTATTATTAACTGTATCACTGGTACAAAACAACAACATATCATCTGTCAAGCATGGAACAGTTTCCAATCTCTGCTTCTTCTATTTCCTAAGTCATTATTACCATCCACAGTTACCCAAGGCAGAAACGTAGAAGTTATCTGTAATTCACCCTCCCCTGCTCTCTTCTATCCCTCCAGGCAACCGATATTTATCAAGAGCCTAAATGTGCTGGCCAACCTTCTAGGTACTAGAGATACAACAATGACTAAGAAGACAAATTATATCCATAAATAAAGAAGTTTGAGAGGTCAAACACTATTGACTTAAAAAAAATAAACTTTATTTTTTAAAAGTTTTAGGTGTACAAAATTACTATGAAGATAAAATAGAGAGTTCCCATATATCATACACCCAATTTCCCGTTTTTTTGGCCATACGCACAGCATGTGGGATCCTAGTTCTCTGACCAAGGATCGAACCCATGCCCTCTGAGTGGAAGCACAGATTCCAAACCACTGGACCAACAGGGAAGTTTGCATTTTCCCCTATTATTGACACCTAACATTAGTATGATACATTTGTTACAATTAATAAACCAATTTTGATCATTATTATTAACTAAAGCCCATACTTTATGAATATTTCCTCAGTTTTTATCTGATGTTGTTTTTCTATTCCAGGATCCTGTAATGTAGTAGTCATATCTCCTAGGTTTCTCTTGTTTGTGGTAGTTTGCTAGACGTTCCTTTCCATGTTTTTGATGAACCTGACAGTTTTGAAGAATACGGGTCAGGTATTTTGTAGATAGTCTCTTAACTGAAGTCTGTCTAATGTTCTTCTCATGATTAGACTGGGGTTATGGGTTGTGGGGAGGAAGACCACAGAGGTAAAGTGTAATTGTCATCACATCACTTCAAAGGTACATACAATCAACATGATGTACCACTGTTGTTGTTAACCTTGATCATCTGGCTTAAATCCTACTAGTCATCTGATTATCTTAACTGCCAATGTCTTGAAACTCTGTTTTTTTCTTTTGGTTAAGGGTCTTGGGCTATTAGATCATGGAATCATTTCAGTTGGTTGAGCAAGAAGCATTATTTTTAAAATGAAATGGGGGACTTCCCTGGCAGTACAGTGGTTAAGAATTCGTGCTTCTAATGCAGGGGGCGTAAGTTCAATCCCTGGTTGGGGAAGTAAGATTCCACATGCCATGTGGTGGGGCAAAACAAACAAACAAACAAAAGGGTGTTGGGGGGTAGAAAATAAAATAATATACTATAACTGAGCTTTTGCTTCTGGATATAATTGAGTAGTTTGTAGCAACGCAATGCTCCCATCAAGAACAACTAGAAAAGATAGATATATACATACACCTATCTATACCCTTTCACAAGCACACACATAAACACACGCACTTGAATGCAGAGAGCTAAGGCAACCAAAACTCAGGTGGCAAATTCTCCAGCAGGGGGAAACCATGCGTAAAGTCAAGCTGACATTCTGCAGCTGTCTTTCTCTTAGAGTTCTGCTGATATGGGGGAGCTAAGCAAGAATCTGAGAATTAAGGCAAAAGAAAAAGGCAGAGGGTTACTACTGTAATATAAAGAAAAACGCAGAACTTTTAACAGTCTTGCTGGCCTACAGAAACATTAAAAAAAATTAGAAAGGCCAAAATTCTGATGAAAAAGGACAGAACTGGCTTAACAATATGTTACTGTTCTTCCTTCAAGATATTTGCTGATAGATAAAAAGCAAGGACCTACTGTGTAGTACACGGGAACTCTACTCAGTATTCTGTAATAACCTATATGGGAAAAGAATCTGAAAGAGAACAAATACATGTATATATGTAACTGAATCACTATGCTATACACCTGAAACTAACAAAACATTGTACATCAACTATACTTGAATTAAAAAAAAAAAAACCACATTATTTGCTGAATTAAGCAGAAAATTTCCAAAAAGTAAAGTGGAGTTAAACACAGTCTCATGGTACAGAAGAGACAAGGAATAGAGTTCAAATCACACAATGAAGGAAGGGGCCTAGTGATCCACCCAGGCTCTCGGTGGGAAAAATCTGTGATCCAGAAGCTGGATGCATCAGAGAAAATCAAAGGCTTCCCCAAACTGCAATTCAGCCTGAAGCCTGATTATTCAGCCAAGTAATTAATCATACTTGATTAATATGATTACCTCTCACAATACTGCCTAGCAAAAGAAAGGGTGAATCCTTTCTGAAGGAAAACAAATCACCGAGACTCTATAGAAATGTATTTATATACAATGCTCAGTATTCAATAAAAAATCAGCAAGGATGCCAAGAGATAGGACCAAATGACCTCAAAGGAAAAACAGACACTAGGAACATAAAAACAAGTATATTCAATATTGGAAGCATCTGACAAAATCCAAATCCATTTATATGTTCAAGAAGATACAGAAAAATATATATCATCTTGAACAATTCAATCCAAAATTCATCAGAGCAAGAGCTTAAGGGTGCCTAGGTTAGGTAATGGAGCCAAAATGGGGTAAGGAAAATGACTGCACAGGAGGAAGGCACTGCATGGGAAGTTGAAGCCTAAGCAAGATAAAAAGAAAGCCTATGGGGCTTCCCTGGTGGTTCAGTCCGCCTGCTGACGCAGGATACACAGGTTCAGGATATATGCTGTAGAACAACGAAGCCCTGACTGCCCGAGCTGCAACTGCTCGGCCCACGCACCAACTACTGAAGCCCACACGCCCCAGTGCCCGCTCTGGAGAAGAAGCCACGACCACGAGGAGCTGTCACAGCACCTCAAGAGCAGCCCTGCTTGTTGCAACTGGAGAAAAGCCCGCACAGCAACAAATGCCCAGCACAGCCCACAATAAATACAATTATTACTATTTTTTAAAAAAAGAAAGCCTACAGAGGTGATGGGAGGGATCCAAGTGCTGGAAAATTGGTTATACACATGGGTAACGATCAAATAAGTAATTATGTTGAAGATAAGGGGAGCAAGATTTTGCATTATTAGAAAAAGCAATTACAAATGTGGAAAGGAAGAAAACTAGAATGAACCTTGTAGTGTTGGATTGGGACTGGAGATAACAGTGTGAATAGATGGTTTCTAACATGCATAGACAGATACAGAAATATATACAGATGTGAATGTGAGTATATAGGTTAAGTATTTATGCATATATTTCCTAGCTCTGTACACTGATATGGTCTGGCAGCAGTGATATCCCAACAGGAATAAATACACCTAGTATTCAGATCTCGGTTTCAAAATATGGTTTTTTACTAAAAGGAACCAAAACTCCTTGGAGAAATAACTGATTCCAAGGCTGGATAGAAAAGTGCAATATGAACTTGGAATACCTTGCTCAAAAGTAAGGAAACACAAAAAACAATGCAGACATGTCAAAAGAACACAGAAAGTAGCTTGAAAGGAGCTCCCGCTGGCCACGTGGGATAATTTGAGCATCAAAATAATTATTTTGTAATGAGTTAGTAGTTAGCAATGAATGTAATTAGTAGGGCTTCCCTGGTGGCTTAGATCATAAAGAATCTGCCAGCAATGCAGAAAACCCGGATTTGATCCCTCAGTCAGAAAGATCCCCCAGAGAAGGGAACAGCAATCCACTTCTGTTTTCTTGCCTGGAGAATTCCACAGACAGAGCAGCCTGGCAGGCTACAGTCCATGGGTTGAAAAGAGTTGGACACGACTGAGTGACTAACACTTTCACTTTTACATTCTGGAGGCTAGAAGTCCAAAATCAAGGTACAAGTAGGGCTACGATCCCTCTGAGACTAGGCAGAATTCTTCCTTGCCTTTTCCTAGCTTCTGGTGGTGGCCATCAACCCTTGGCATTCCTTGGTTTGTCAGATGCATCACTACAGTATCTGTCTTGGTTGTCACACGACATTCTTCCTGTGCATCCCAATTTCCCTCTTCTTATAAGGACTCCAGTGATACTGGATTGAGGCTATCCTAATGACCTCCCCTTAACTTGATCACATCCATAAAGTCCCTATTTCCAAGCGAGGTCATTTTCATGTGTACCAAGGGTTAGGGCTTCATCATCATTATCTTTGGGGGGTACATAATTCAATCTACAGCAATTACCAAGTGAAAACTTTTCAGTGGACAAGCTGGGAAGATGCCACTTTAAATTAAGATATCAAAGGGAATGTTATAGGCAGTAAAACAAATCAAACCTGTGTGCTAACTGAAAGGATGAAATGAGAACACAATCACTTCTATGATATTCTTACTAAAGATAGATAACCTCTATTTGATCACAAAGAAACATCATATAAATCCAAATTAGGAGACACTGGACAAACTATTTGATATGTAATCTTCAAACATATTCAGGTCATGAAAATTAAAAGACCAAGGAACTGTTCCAGATCAATGGAAAAAAGAGAGAAATGCAATAAATGCAACTTGTAATTATGGATAGGAGCTTTTGCTATAAAAACTCATCAATCTGAGTAAGGGCTGAGGATTAAATAATAATAGTACATCAATGTGTTAAATTTCTTATGGTTATGAAAGAGAAAATTACCTTGGAGGAAAACACACATGAAAATATTTGGGGGTAATGGGGTGTCTGCAACTTATTTTCAAATGATTCCCCCCAAAAAGGTCTTCATAATGTACTTAAGATATTTGAGAATTTTACAAAATACTGAAAAAAAATAAGGAAAAAATTAAAAATAGGTTAACAGAATTTCACTATAAAAATAGAATCCTTTCTATCAAAAAAAAATCAAATGGCAGTTCTAAAACTGAAAAATAAGCCAACTAAATTAATCAATTGGTTAAATAATAGATAAAATTCGGCAGAAGAAAGAATTAATGCATCAGAAGACTGGTTAGTAGAAAATATCTAGAAGAGAAGCAATGAAGGGAAAGAATGGAAAATACAGAAAGGAACATAAAAA